CTATCTTCCATTGAATTTGAATCAGAGCTCAGTTTCATAGAAGTGAGTATTCCCACTATGTCTTTGTTTAACGTACTATAATTTCATGTGATTTTACGGAGTAGGAAAAAAGTTACAATTGAAAAAGCGTTTCACCGGACCTTTGATCGCTAGTGTATGGGGCCCATACAGTGATGTCCTGCGCTCGACACGCGGTCCACAATTCAAGTCTCCTGCCTTCCCGGACGGGTCTTGTACCAAACAACCGACCCTAGAGGGATGGGAGGCCTAGTTGACTCGGGCGGATATCGATCCACGGTTCGACCTCTAGACCATTTTGTGTGATTGTGCGCCTTTTACCAATACACCACCAGAACTTCAATTTAAAACCACCGGCCTTTACTATATAGCCAAAATGTTTCTTTTTTGTAAAGACGCCTAAACTAACGGCATCGATAATGATGAAAATTATCGCGGAGATTGAGCAATGAGTCTGATTTTTCGATTGATCACCAGTATGTAATGAGCTAAGCCACTCGCCTTGATGGAGATAGTCAATGCTGAGTGATCACTCGAGCCAAAAACCAAATAGAAATCAAATTTCTGCCGAGCCTCATTTGTCACGTGTAAAAGAATAAGGCTTTTTGTAGGTGGTCGACCCCAATTAAGGAATACACGTTTCTATTGAAAATCGCGTTAACGTTCGAATGCGTATGCAACTTTTTTCTTTGTGATTTATGGATGGACCCGATGTGTGGCTAGGGTTTTTCCCATTAGTACCAATCAACGGATTCCGGAAGGATTGATGGATTGGTCTATCGGAGGAGTAGACTACTGCATCGATTCCTTATCCATTCCGGAGGTAGCGCGCCCCTGACACTATCTCACTTCCGAACCATCAGCAACATTGTTTTTTCTACAAATTCTTTCTAACCCTATGTTACAGCAACTCGAGGAGAACAATGGAAAACCCGTGTATTTCAAGGAGCGGTTCTCCTGCATCAGGAAGCAGAGTAGGTACAGGTGCAGTTCATTGTTAGAGCTATCCGGAAATGTACAGAGGTTGTTAAAGTCACCGACCTCTATCAACCTCCAGAAGTACCGTCAGCATAATCATTCTTCTGCGAAAGGTTTTTGGCTACACACAGGGCTGCACAGGGCTGAGGATCGAAATAGTATTTGGAGAATCTATCTATGTCGGGAATCTGTCGCGCACAATACTGTGGTAGCTCTGCAGACCAAAACCGTAACGACCTTCTTTCTCCATTCTCACAAAATTCTTTTAAGAAGATTACATTGACTGGACCTCGGATCATTCTACTTCTATGACTTTACGATTCTGGTTATAAATCGAGTGCATGACGGATCATATCATCACAGGGTGCCATGCTCATGCAGAATCCCATACGTCAACTTCAACATAACGAGGGAATAAAAGAAGCTGTTCACGTCAACCCCTTGTGATGATAGCACAAATCATAATTCAATCCGGATTGCTTATGCACGTTTTTTTAAAATTCTCACTTATCCGGTTTTGCAAAGACGTCGTCAGAGAATCCGTGTTTTGAAGAGCTCAAAGTGGCCACCCAGGGATGTAAAGGTTTCAAACCGGAACATGTTCACTTCGGTAGCATTTGATGGAATCATTTAAGGAAAAAAGAAAGCAGGAACCTATTGCGACGTGTTCGATTAGAATGATTTATCTCAATGTTTGACAGAAACAACAAGAAATGTTTCTTCGTTGCATCGTGTACTTAGCTAGTTTCGCCTATCCAAACATCAAAATCTGGAATGATTTAATGAGCCGCCAGCTGGATAGTTCTAAGATTGGTTTCTAAAATCAAATCCGATGGCACCAATCGACTAATCCCCTACGATTGGGAAGTGAGAGGGGAAAAAAAGGGTGGGAATTGTTTAGAGAAGGGCTATTTCGACTTAGGGCCTAAGACACAGTTTACAATAAGTTTCAAATACCCAGATTTAGTGAAATAATGTAAGTTGGCACAGAATAGTTCAAAGATGGCAGAAAAACGAAAAAATTAGCAGACATCAATAAAAGGCTTCGGAAAAGTTGTAAAACTTAGGAGATTCATGAGATTATGACGACAAAAGTAGCATGGAAGTGGCATTTAGACAGTGCTGGTTCCGAAAATGTTTTGCAAATCAACATATTGGTAATGGTCAGATCTTCCCCTACACGGGCTAGCGGGAGGGGAGTAGATATTATTAAGAAAGGAATCCAGAAGAGGTTTGTGACTCAAATCTCAGAAGCACAGTTTATAATATTTTTGAGATATCTCTTACAAGTGAAGTAAGGGGTCGACAAGACTATAACGACAAAAGTGGCATGAAAGGGCTATTCGGACGAGCTGTCAGTCGTGTTACTGCGTAGAGCTGGCTACAGTAAGCCGAAAATGCCAGGAATTTCCTTACACTGCCACCATGGTCACTAGTTCGGTTAACCGAATAAATGTTTGAATTTTCAACAGGCGTGCGTACTCCATTGTGAATCGTGCAGCCTTAGCAAGGCCGAAGTAACATGGCCACTTTTGGGTGTACACCCAGTTTAGGAGCCCGTATTACGTCCTGTTCAGGTCATTATTCGACCCGACAGTGCCCCATTTGCTATCCTCGGGAGCTTCAAATCTTCTTAGGGAGAAATCTCAAAAACCACTGTTATCGTATGATAATTTGATAATTAAAAATGGAATGATAATTCCGTCGTTCTTCCTCTAGTGATAATATACGTATGTCTCAATGATGGCGAAAAATTACGTGCTCCAAAGTTTAATTCGTGACACGTGACATAAATTTTGGATGACTATTGGCTTGAAAAAAAGTTGACCATCTAGGTCAGCCGGAGACTCACATCAAAAGAAGACACGTTCTAGGAAAGAGTGTGATGAAAAACAAGAGCACAGACTTTGAGCTTCTTAAGAACTGTCAGAAGATTGAAAAGAGTTGGGAGAGGAAGAAGGATAAAATTCGAAAAAGGACGAAAACATGCTGCCAGCGTTCGGATGCGCAAGGACATTGACATGAGGATTGATCGAAATTGACCAAAGATCGGAAAGATGAGACCGACATTATCGTCCTCACTTCTACGATTATTCTCCAGCACTTCTGCTATATTGAGGGGGAACTTTTTACCTATACTGTGTTGGGAAAATACAGCTTTCTCATCCCATCTCTGAAATTCTTTACATATGTAGCTTTCCCGTCCTCACCTTTTCGCTGTTGAAACGATGCGACTTCTCCATTCTCACTTCCACTCTGTTTAGGAGGGATGACATTCTCGCCTTATTAAGGACCATCTCTGGTATGACAACCATTTTCACCGTCAAAGTGGATGAAAAGAAATCTCAGAACCACCGTCGACTTATCAGCCCAGCTCTCATGACCACATGCAAAAAAATTCGCTACAACAGTTCCTTTTCCTGAAAGTGTATGGTTCAGGCGCCTCGAAGACTCGGAAGGTCAAGGCTCCTTTAGTTTACATCGACCGAAACGCCTGCGAAGGTCTTGCAAAAGGGGGCATTCAAAAAAGGAGCTGTGCAGCCTCGAAAGTAGGAGCATCCCGATTCCATCTTCGGACAAGACTGGACTTCAAATAGCCGACATAAAAATCTACTCTCTCAAGATAGTGATCGCCCTTTTGTGGAGCATGATTTACTGCCCGAGAACATACTGGTTCTGGCTCCTTCGATTTTTTTGTTTGAACCTCCGTGAAAGAACAACTCTGGTGTGCTCTGGTGTGATAGTGTAGAAAAAACGGCGAGGGTTTGCTTAAATAACTGACTGGAATTCGAGAGATTTCACCGTTGTTCTTTGCTGTACCATTATTTTATAAGAGAAAAAATTGACGCCTCTATCAAAGCTTAGGTCGGCCACTCGAGAAATTTCTCCAATGCTAAATTGTTTTCAGAAGAAAATCCTTTGTTTCATGCCAAGAGAGATCCATAGCCCAAAAGATTGGCGAGTTATGGGCAAAGTTTCTTCCTTGGATGGGACTCGAGCCCATACTCGTACTTTTCAGGCACCGTGACCTCCAAATGCAAACTTTCCCTCTAGGTCATGGACAGCTAAGTTTTCAGTACACTATGGAGTTTTCCACTTACTTCAAAGACTTGTATGTTCCAGTACCTAAGCTGGTTGTTTGTCGAACTTTCAATTTCAGATTTTGAACGGTAGGTTCAGTTACACGTCCGCGAAGCCCAATGACTAGAGCATCAAATGAACTACATGACTCGTTTTACTCTCAGTAAATGTAAAAAATAATTACAAGGAGAGTCATCGGGACATTATGGGATAAATAAGATCCAAAGTTTGATCGTGGATCACGTTCGTGGAAGGGGTTCCACGTCCACTCAAGCGGGGTGTACATATGGGTAACAGAATTGCTTACTACCCGGTAATGATCAACGAACTTTTGAAACGGATTAAACACTCAGTTTAAGTGGAAAATTTAAGATATTCGAATGCAAATCGGGTATGAAACTGTTCGAAGTAAAATCATTTGAATAGAATGACTCTGGTTTGATCCATAGTACATTTGAGATTACCTGTTTTCAGTGATTACCATACGCTCGCAGAATATCTATGCAGTACTACAAGCTCAGCTCCGCTTTAGGCTTTAATATTATGAAGAATCCCGTTTGCAAGGTCTCTAGCACGCTCTTGTTCGTGAAAACCAGTCATGTTCGAAAAGTTGGACTGCACGCTTCACCTTCGGGGAGTTATCCACGGAACGAGTGAAATACGTACTTGGGAACAGTAATTACTGTGATAAAACTCTCATCTAACACCCTTCATTATCTTCCACGCAGATTTATCGCAACCGACAGCGATATCGAGAAAAACTTAACGACCAAAACGGTTCAGCCACCTAGGCGACCACAGTCCGACCAGTACTTGTTGCTGACCAGTCTTTTTTGAAGTGGGCGTAACCGAAGAAATTAGCAGCCATAAGTTTAGCGGCTGCAGCAGTCACAACTTCAGCAGTTCCTCACTAGTTTGCTGTCATGATCACTGCACGACAGGCTGCTTATTCGGCCATCGGGCTATCATCGATATGCGTCCTTATGACCGTACTATACATGCCGATCTTCATTTCCAAGGTACAATCCATTCAGGACCGACTTTCGAGAAACATGGAGGATTTCGACATAATGGAGGTGAGGAATGATGATCGCAGGGGAGTAGACAGAGCTAGACCGAGGAGTTATTTTCAGAAAACAACCTGGAGCCATCTCAAAGAGGCAAGAGGTGAGATTCCTGTACGGACAGTCTCCAAACGGCAAGTGGAAATATGCGGTGGGTCTTATTCCGCAAACGCTACCTTCTGGTCAATATGATGTCGCTATCGAATCAACTACTTACGAGAAGTGTCACGGAAGAGTCTTTCAGAATGCCAAGAGACGAATCCTTGCCCACCAGGAGAAAAAGGACGTCCAGGATTCGACGGTATGAACGGTACACCCGGTGAGCCAGGAATGCCCGGTGCACCTGGATTACCAGGAATCGTACCCCCGTCTGAGGCAACAAGTACCAGTGATTGTCGCATGTGCCCACCAGGTTTACAAGGGCCACCAGGTTGGCACAGAAGTTTTCAACTACATGTTCGCATCAGCTAATTACAATACATTTAGGCTACCCCGGCCAGCCTGGTCCACAAGGGCAACCTGGTGAGCCTGGATCACCAGGAATAGACGGCCGTCCTGGACAAGAAGGTCCTCACGGTCCACCTGGACCGATGGGTCCAGCAGGCGAAGGAGGCAATGATGGAGAACCTGGTTCACCAGGCCAACCTGGCATACAAGGCGCAAAAGGTCCTACAGGACCTCCGGGTGACATTGGACCAGTTGGCCACCCAGGTAATCCTGGACATCCTGGACCACCAGGGCAACCGGGACCTGTTGGTGCACCTGGAAAACAAGGACTAGATGGAGAAGCTGGTAAGATAGCCGCTCTATTAATACTGAGTATAAAAATTACGGCTCTTCAGGTATGTCTGGATACTTTGGCGGTATTGGAAAGCCCGGTGAGCCAGGACTACCAGGAACAGACGCTAGCTATTGTCGTTGCCCAGGTCGACGTAAAAATGGCCATGTATTCGCAAGATTCAGTTGAAGTTCGAATGGTTTTATATCCGGAGAAGAGTTCCAAATGTTTTGATAAACATCGATTTTTGCTTTGATGCATTTTTCGAGTTCTGAGGTGAAGAATAGTGAGCATAACTCCATTCCAAAGTGGAAGTATCCCAAACAAGAGAAATTGGTCATATCAAACCGCACCACCCCCGAAAAAGCTTAGAGAGAAGGAGGAATACGGCGAACGGTTCGTACTGATGTCTTGCCTAGACACCTATCTCAATTCCAAGAGACAGATAACCTGGCTGGCCTGGTCGAAGTCCTCTCAATGAAATAAAATCGGAAGTTTCCACCTATGGTCCATCTTGGTTTTCTCACTTCGGCTTTCTTTCTGGGTAACCTTTGTGATTGCTTGCGATTAGATTGCATTTTGATTGACGGATATTAGAAGCGCTTATGAATGGGGATTTCGCCCTAAGCCCTTTGTCATTCTGGAACCTAAATCTCCAAAATGATCGAAAGAAACGTCCTAGGGCCGATGCCTGTACACATGCATATAGCTTAAACATCGGTCGGATATACTGCGACTTCGAATAGGTATTAGGTCCGTGGAACATCCAAAGAGGTGATGACCCCATTGCTCAGTCTTCCTTAGTCTCCTTCCTGATTTTGGTTCTATTGCGAGACCAATCACCGAGATATAAAACCAAATCTCTGATACTATTTTAATACCAAACTTCCGATAAATTCAGTCAATGCTAATAAACGTCAGCCCAATACCGACAACGTTGCTGATGAAATTTCATACGAACTTCCCTCCAATATCTAATTAAAAGTGGCTTCCACACCAGTGATATTGTTAAGTGAATGGGGAGCAAATCTCGATCCTATTAGCGAATGAACCGAATCTCAACAGTGCCAAAATTATCCACAGATGTTTGATATATATATTTCCTTAGAGTAAGATAGAGATAGCACGATGAAATCCGAATTATGGCTGGCTAAGAAGGTACTGGACAAATCGACACTATACTTTTCTATATGATTCCTACGTTCCTAACTACCTCTGGAGGCTCACAAAACTGGGAAAAGGTCTAGCTTCTGCCAACTGAGATTCCGATGTCGGGTGGCATGGGTCTTCCGGTGCATTTCCGGACAGCCCAATCAGGAAAACGGCGTCCGGAAAAAGATCACTTTTAGCCAGAATGAAACTGAACAGCTTCTCACGATATCGGGCTTGAGCTGTCTCCTCCTTATGAATTGTCGCTGAATTTTGATGGAACAGCCAATGCCTATAGCTGTAATACGCTTGCGCTGCTTTTTCTCCAAGAACACCTTTAAGTGGTAGTTCCAACTGGTCGTTACGCATCAGTTCACGAAAAACTTAAGCTGGGTGTTTTCTCCATGATCAGATGGTAGGCTAGCACTCCTTTGATTGAGAGATTAGAACGTCTTCCGTGCGAAGGAGTTTTTCGTCAAAGAAGACAGACAGAAGATGTTCTCCTTTGCAAGTTCACCTGTGTACGGCCAGTAATGGAAACAAGGAGAAAAGGGCTTCGATACTTCTGGTAGACTAACTTTATCGAAACAAAAGTTTGAGGTTATGTTCAAGGTTTTAGGTGTCCAAGGTGTCCAAGGTGCAATCACAGTAAAAATGCGAAATTACCGCATAGTCTCGGGAAAAGTCTAGAGGCAGTCAGGGTTGTCAGTGGGTGATTATGCGTTCCACGAGATACAACTAGGTAGGAGAGAAGAGCTACTAGATCAAACAATACAATGAAAATCATAGATACTAGAATGAACTGCATCCTCTCCTATCCCACAACATGCCATTCACTTATCAATCCCTATCGCCGATCTTTGTCGAAGTCTGGGAATCTTTTTTGGACCCAAGAACCGGTATAATTTGTCAAGCACTGTCATTGATAATTTTTGTTTTTCAAGCTAGCCAATGAACGACAATGAGGATCTGTTTCAGAGCTTCTAATGACAGTCCCATTTATTTTCAGTTTTTCTCAATCGAAAAGAATGGATTTAGCCCGAACCTGTGATGAACGTTGATGGTCGAGCCTACAGTGAAAGATTTTTGGCAATTACTGAGTCAGGAATGAGTCAACTGAGTCAGTAACTTCCCAAAATAGTACCGTCTAAGGCCATTATTTTCGAGGCCCATTCAGTTTTCGCGATTTCAAAGAGCATCCTCTCGAAAGCTTCAGACCTTACTTTCCTTCCAAGTAAAGAGGTCTAGGTGACTGAAGTTCCCGAGGTCGCGTGCAGCTGTCGATGAGGAATTGAACCTGACGTGTGTTTTTACTCTCAGCAGTTTTCAGCAACGGAAAGCGCACAAAGCTGGTTCCACTCGAGAAGTACGGAAGTTTCAGAAAAGGGTGGGTTGATACCTGTTGATGGCCTCCTACATATAAGGGACAGGGGACATATTGGACGGAAGGTGTCGACCCAGCAGGCAGGATGTATCACCTAACCGTGTTTCACCAAAAAATGTGGGAGCAGGATTGCATAATTGCTTTGAAGAGCAAACCCTATTTTCAATGTATACGTAATCCTTTTAGACGAGTTTGATGTGAAGTTACTAGACGGGATATCAATGGTCAGTTTTAGCGGATCCATAGCTGCGATGTGTACGCGCAGCCACCGATCTGCGGAGAGAGTACTGAGTTAGACAGTTACAGTTACCAGACAGTTACCTTCAGTGTCGAGTACGTCCCGATTCTATGCAAGTGTGATGCCAATTCAGGACGAAATGGCAAGGTTCTCAAGGTAACAGAAAGAATAGATGACTCGTCTAACCCCAGTTACCCCCAATTCCACCTTCCTCTACGACCATCAGATCCTATTCTCATTTTTTTTGATTCTTCGTCACAGTTTCGCATTTCCTTTTCTTATGTCCGCAAATCGCTTCACGGATTTATAGCCAAGATGGAGTAATAGCGGAATAAAATCAATTTTGACAGCGATGCTACCCATGCTGGTTTGATTCTCAACTTAAAAGCCCTCATTCACAACTGTTATACGCGATTACTTTACTTCAGGTTTGAAAAGCAAGGTGCCTTAACCACTCCAAATTCTATAATGCTATAGTTATCTTAAAGGCACAGTCCGCGACAAAATGGATTTCTCCACTTAACCGGCGTGTACATTCAAGGCGGACGGGTTCTTAAGCATTGTAAAAGCTGTAGAGATTGCACCAATCGCACCGGGACCCATAACTTACACGCAGGCAGTTTATTGCAGCGAGCTGTACGCAGTAGTGCGCACATTTCGACATATCGCCCAAAAACTCCATCCATGCAACTTCTGTAGTCACATTCTCGTCTAATTTTACCCTCATATTCCTCTGAATATGACGATTTTCGCATTTTCTCCGCCATTTTCGTACTATTTGGTTCTAGGGTATCACTCCCATTATTTGTCTAAATCTAGCTATCTCAAAATTTTCTTGAAATGGGCCTTTAAGAAGTATTTCAACCCAAAATCAAAGTACTTGAACCTAAAATTAACAACACAATTTCTGTTGGCTATGGCTTAGTTTGTAGTAATAATATGTTCCGGATATATTTTCACGTTCTTTTCGTACAGCTTCCATGGCTTACCCCACCTTACTAGTTTATCAGTTCCATAATGAAATAGTCCACATCATCTTCAATCGGAGATTTTGCCTGACTGATGTCGCTGTGGTTGCAAAGTTCTACACGGGATCGGACCATCGTATCCTCCATGGATTCTGCTTCTCGTGCATAGAGAGAGAGCTATGAGGTTTAGGAGACGAAGTTCCAGACCTCCATCAACTGGGACCACTTCGCTATCTTTGCGAGTGAATGGGAAGATTTCGTTACCTACAACATCGATGAAGAATACAACGAGGTCGTCGAACATCTTCACTATGGTGCTAGGAAAGCAGAGAATTCACAAGTAGCCAAGAGAAAACATTCTCCATAGGCTCGAGTTGACACGCCAGCGTCGCGCGAACCGCAGGCAATCACCAACAAATGTCCGAACTTGTGAAGCTATGCAGAAAAGCGATAAAGGATGATCTGAACGAGAGAAGAGCAGCATTTTTGAATGAAGCCGGCGAGGCTGGAAAGGGCATTCGCAAAGCTGGCTGGAGTTTTGTCAATCATGAGAGCAAGATAACTTCCCCCCGTCGTCCTGACGGAACTGGTACTGCATCTTGAAGGACAACGGAGGAGGTCATCTACGATTTCTACTCGGATCTTTAATCAGCTGCGTCTACCTGCCTATACACCATCTTAGGCAAGACGAATAGTATATCATCGCTCCTTTGGTTCTCCCTTCCGATAAAATGCCATCACTTTCATGAAGAATTGTACGTCGGCCGGTTCCGATAGGAGCGTACCAGGTCATCTGTACAGTCTTCCACCTCTTATCGCCAGAACTCTGGCTAGGCTCTTCACGCGGTACCTGTCGGAATGCAAAGTGCTCACGTCGTGGAAAAATAGCAAGATATGTTGCTGTAAAGATGGGAGATCCCGACGATATTGGCAATTATCCTAACCTGCCTGCTGCCTGTAATCTACAAGCTTTCACACGCGTCATCCTAAACAGGATTGGCTGAATATTAGATGAAGGACAGCCATGCGAGCAAGCAGGGTTTCGGAGAGAGATCAGCACAATCGATCATATCCACACTTTTACAGGACTCAAAGATACTCATTGAAGAGTACAAAATGCCGTTATGTCCTACGTTCATCGATTTATGAAAGGCCTTTGATACTTTCGAGACAGAGGCGGTAATTGAAGCCCTAGGCAATCACGGTGTTCTTACCCAATACATAAGGATGCTTCGTGAGCTCTACAATAACTTCACGACCAGGATCTCTTCATTCTATAAAGAAGTCATCATCAACATAAAGAAAAGGGTTCGACAGGTCGATGCCATGTCGCCCGAACATTTATGTGCTCTGAGAACATCATGCGTCATATGGAATGGGAGGATGAACGATCTAGCTCCGGAGCTGAGCAGAAGGAAACGCGCTGCGTAGGTAGCATTTAAGAACATCGAACAGTAGAGGGATTAGTGGAGAAGACAAAGAACATCTGGCTTTGCGCTCACTTTTTCGACACTGCTGTCCTTCATGCTTTGACGTTGCCTTAGAGAATTGAACACTACGAAAGCAGGATGTACATGCTGTCAGCGTTATTCAACGCGATTTGGGAATGATGATGCTCGGAATTTTCCTATACACGCGAGTGCAAAGGAGAATCCGAAGTCCAGAGCTCCGTCATCAAACGAAGATCAGGGATGCCTTTGTTTACGCCAAGAAGACGAAGATTTGGTGGGCTGGACACGTAATGCAATATAGTGGACCAGGGCGGTTACAGACTGGATCCCTCGGGATGTCAACCGAACACCAGGACGGCCACCAACGAGATGGTCAGACTTCTTCATGAAAGCTCTGAATGAAAGGAATGCTGGGCCTCGTCTCCCTGAAGCAAGAACGTTTCACTGGACCACTCTAGCTCGTGAGAGGGACGAATGGAGACGTTACTGGCGCCCGCTCGAGGAAATCGACGGCCAATGGGACGACAGGTGATACGGGTGATGGAATTAGTTGTGAAATCTAAATGGGTTTTGTAGAATGCTCATTTTCTAATGAATGTCTCAATTTCCAGGCCATGTATGAATTTCCACAAACATTCCACAATTGAAAATGCATTTGGGGAACCTTTCACAAGGTTAGTATATCAAGAAATGAATTCAGTGTTACGTCTTAATCCTTGATATATTAGCACTGTATCAGAGACGAAGAGGGGGATGGGCACTGACCATATGTGCTTTCAGGCGGTGTTGGCCAAGGAAATGTAGTTTTTTACTAAGCCTAACAAGTGTAAGTAGTGTAGGAGCACCTGGGTGACCGGATGGATCGGACGATTACCTCGTGCGAAAAATATGAAAAAAAGAAAATCCGCTCACCGCGGTGCTCCTTCCCTCCTAAAGCTTCTAATTCATTGAGTTCACTTGAGTTCATTTTTTGATATATTCGAATTTTAGTTGCTCTAGCTTGCTAAATGTGGTCAAACTTCCTACAGAAAGACTCCGATTGAAAGGTCCCAGTCTTTTATTATTCCTCTATAAGTGCATTCGTCCCTTGTAGAAAAAAAATTTACGAAAGGGTAGTAATAAACCGAAACTCCTACGTGTTGTGGTGGCGGCGACGATGGTGAACGAGGGATGAATGCTGATGTTGGTGATGTTTGGCAGCATTTATTCCGGGATTATGGGTGGACACATGTTCCATCAGTTCCTTGAAAAACTACTGCCGATGTTATTCAAGGAGATCTGCTGATCCTGTTCTCTGATGAACGGAAAACTGAGAAATACTACCTTTTGCGTGGAATTTTCCTGCGTTTTTGGTGCTGCTCTGATTGGAGAGTTGACATTTCCGGGCGATTCTCTACGTTTGCGTCCCTGATTTCAAACAATTAGCGGGATAAAAAAGATATAAAATCCACTTGTGAAAAAACATGGTCAGTCGATACAATAGTGGTCAACTATTCCGTCATGAAAAAGCTTGCAGACTGTAAACTAGCGTAATTCTTCTTTGTTGCCCAATCGACAACATACATGGTAGGTTGTTTTAAATTGAAATACTTTTGTGCTGTACGAGTTTGTTAGGGATGGAACAACTTATTTAATCGGCGACGCAATCGTCTTCTTCAGAGGCCAGGGTTCCATCACTTGAGCGGAGAAAATAAGCTAATGACCAGTCGCCTGTGGCGGGAGGGGAGGGGNGGGGAGGGGGGAGGGGGGGCTACGCCGAGAAAAAGCAAGAGAGAAGTTGGAGACTATATATAGTATGGTTTAGTTTTTTGACCCAATCTTATTTCGGAACGAGCCACCTAACTAGAGTTTTCGAGGCCTAGATATGTATTAGCCAATTCAATAAACTTTGAAGTTCGGTTTTTGTAAAAGCCAGCATCTGCATAACTTCGGCTAATCTGATTTTAATCTGCTAGTCGTGATGAAATAGAAAGTTTGATGGTTTGGATCGGTCGGGAGATATAGTCGTTTCAGTTGCTTATGCTATCTTTCACTATGAACCTAACACTAGAGCTGGATAGAGTACTAGCAACCCAACGTTCTGGTGAAGTCACCAACACTACCCAAAAGCATCCAGAAAAAAAAAAGATTTTTTTGGCCGGATTTATCCCATCACCGTGTCCAGAACAATTCTTGCCATATTTCTCTGAGCATATGACAAGTACTGAGTGGGAGTAATCTTCCCATACTCTGGAGGCAGCAGTTTATGGCCAACGTTGAACACACCAAAGAGGGCTTCTACATATAGCTCCAGTATCCCTTGCTCGTCCAACAGTTAGCACTCGGATCATCGATTGGTGAAAAGGTAATAGAGCAAGTGTTCGAGGTTCGCATAGTATCCTTGGGATTTGCCTCCTAAAATTTTTTGTCCTAAGACTGCTGTCCCGTGGATTATTACATAAAAACTATTAATCCATTCTGGAATTTTTCGATGCTGCACATGTTGCGATTGGAGAAATTGCTTCGCTCGGTTTCTAGTGATACTTGCTCAGCAAAAAAATGCTCGAAAATTTGATTTTGCTGCCTGAAGTACCAAAGCTATTTTTTCCATCATCTAAAGAGCTGTTCCAACCGTTAAGTTGTTGAATTAAGGAGAACAAATCCGGCTTTGAACAGGATTCGAACTCAAACCTAGCCGTCACACCTTCCTTACGGCGCTCGGTGATATACAGCACAACAGCAAAAAAGCAAGAAGCAAAAATTCAAGCTCGTTTCGTATATTCCTCCNAGGAGTATGGATGAGACAAACGACTTAATGAGACCGCTTTGAGGTCCTTTTTCGGTGATGACCTACCAAATTTCACTTAAATCACAGTTATTATCTAGGTAATACTGGTCGAAATAGTATAGAAGTTTGTCTCATAATATTGGTCATGTCTCAATCCAAAGACAAAAGGTGCGGTCATCAAAAATAAGTACTGCACTCACTTTCGATCTCTTCACCCTTTTTTTCTTCTTGTGACGTATTTTTCTTTTAGGCGCATCCACTTTCATTTTCGTAGCAGTCGCTTGAAAGAAAATGTCAGTAAAGCAGCCTTTTTGAAATATTTTTAGGATAATATCCTTAGGAGTAGCACAATGACAACAGGTGTGCTCGTACTCGATAGCGAAGGTCGGAGGGAAGACTACAGAAATGTTCGAGGAGAGATGGCAGTACCTTTGGTCAGAACTAGATCAACCTCGCGAAACTTAATCAGTTCACGACAAAAAAGTTCCTTGGAGAAATGAACGCATTGCGCATGGGGTATGAGTTTGACAATCATAAGAACTGGGAAAGGCGAAAAGGAAGTGCTGCTGAAGACTGGTATGGCGCTATACTGAGAAACTGAAGCCATAACATCAAAAACTTGGATGATAAAACTGTGGAATTCCAGAACTCTCGGCAGCTTTAGTGGGTTGACCTTTCGCAGAGTATTAGGGCGGCATCACACTTAGATCCTGTCCTCATGTGTTTTAAAGTTCAATTCGCATGAGGGAGGAGGGATGGGGGAGAGGTGTGGGAGAGGGTGTAGCTTTGTACAAGTAATAACTTACCCTTTTTTAGTAAACTCTTGCTTATGGGTTCCCGAGTGGTTCAACTTCTGTATTGTGGGTGTGGGTCCATTAGGGATGTTACTACCTGCTGCGCTCCTCCACCTCTGTCATAGTACCGACTTTATTTTGAATTATTCTAAGACATACCAAATGATTTTTTATCTCCCTTAGCTAGGAAGCAAAGGATAAAGTTTCGAACTTCTGCAGAATTAGTTGTGGCCAAGTATTTTGCGAGAACTTCCTAGAAATAGTTATGAATTGGGTGTAGCCTTCAATATGATTGCAAACATTCTCACTCTTGTGTTTTTAATGTCGTTGCAATCAGTCCCCCGGCAAATACAAGCGGCCGCTGTGTTGGAAAAAGCGCATTCGGGTACCACCTGAAGCAGAAATGTGTAAAGGAACACAGTTCAAATAAAACTGCGGTTTTCCCGCTTGGAAGAGGGATTGTCTGTCTCAGCAACGGAACAAAATAAGCGGTAATTCCTGAATCGAGCTACTACTTCAGCAACAAGTAATGCAGTAGATAGTGGAGGACGAGTCGTTGACAGTGTGTTTTCTGAGTTTCTGAGCGAGCGAGCGAGCCTCTTGAGATCTGCTCAGCGCCACTTCGGTATACTTCGTTATGAAGGGTCGAGGGACTGAGTCGGGAATGGTGGTTGGGTATAACAGAAATATGGTCCTGCTCTCGCCAGCCAGCAATTCTACTGCTCGACGAATTTTGCGTTAGAGCTTTCACTATTCTCTTCAGTAATATTACGTAAGTAATACATATGTATATAACTTCAACGGCATGTCTGCATATCCACACGGCTGGGAGAGTACCTGATGATGCAAGCTGGGAAGTTTCTATACGACGTCATCGGACTGAGATGAGACCAGAAGGCACTGTCCTCCGCACGCCATTTCCGAAATTGGATGAAACTGTGCCATGGAACATGCGACAACAGAGGCGTCCGCGATGTAGGTGTCTCATCAACACGTACTTGGCAACAAACATCAATTCGTACAAAAGCTTGACCACCCGGAACAGATGTTCGCGATTGAGAAGATGTGGCTCAACTCCAACTCTAACAATCTTCTGTTTACGCACCGTATCGAGTATCGAGCTACGAAAAGAAGAGCTGTAAGCTTTTTATATGGGTCCGTAGAGGATCTACGGAGAAGGCCATACTTTCTTCGAAGTCATCGTCGGTGATTTCAACGCCAAGATTGTCCTTAGAAAAACGGACCCATATCAAAACTCCATATCGGGACTCCTGGAATGGAATGGAATGAGTAGGGTGAAAGGCTGTCCGAGTTCAAAATGTCGACCACACCATCCATGCAAACTCGCAGTTTCAGAAGCCCTCTCATTTGCGATGGACATGAGAGTCACTTGGCGGACAGTTCCATAACGAAATAATAGATTACACCGTCTTCAATCGGAGGTTTTGCCTGACTGATGTTTGGAAGTTCTGCACGGGAATTGATCCCCTTATCCTTCGCGCTATATTTTGCACGATAGTGCTAGGAAAGCAGAGAGTTTTCAAGTAGCCAAGAGACGACCCTCATCGAGGTTTCTCGAGCTGATGCCCTAGCTTGGAATCTTACGAGCTGCAGGCAATAATCAGTTAACGTCCGAACTCGCGAAGCTATGCGGAAATGCGATAAAGGATGATCTGAAGGAGAGAAGAGCTGCAGTTTTGACTGAAGCTGCCGAGGCTGGAAAGAGCATTCGCGAAGCTTGGGGAGCTTCGCCAATTACAAGACCAAGATGACTTTCCTTCGTCGTCCTGCCAGTTACTGCATTAGTTACTGCATTTCGAAGAGAAGTGTCCATTCGTCCCTTTCGCGTGTCAAAGTATTCCAGCAGATCGTCCTTGCTCCAGGAACGCGGAGCAGAGCATTCCTTTCATTCAGAGCTTTCGTGAAGAGGCGAGATCTGGCGACCGCTCGAGGAAATCGATGATCATCATGTGATGGACCTGTTGGTGGTGGTCTAAACTATCCTATCCTATGTCAAAGTGACTATCTGTAATCCGAAGCGATTTCCTCTCCGACCATGAGCCATGGAGAAATTGGAGGGTTAGGCCATTGTAGTCGGGGTGTGTTTAAACCAAGACCACGACTGAATCCTTTTAGCATTCCCTTGATTCGTCATCTGAATGTAGTCGAGCACGATCGCTTCATTGCTGTCCAGGAACGTTTCGATTTCTCCAACTGGTCAAAATGTTTTTCCCATTTTCGTCATTGAATTGTTCACTCTGATCTTTTAACTGAGATTGCTCTGAAGAGATACCAAGCTATAGCATGGTGTGTGTACAGCCGATTTCAGAGACACTTCCATTCACATTCTGATGTATAATTTCGAAAAAACGGATCCGAACCAGCATCCAAGATCACGTCTAAGGAAAGACCTTAATGTCACAACGATTAGCTGCTCCAATCTAGGGTAGCGTCCTAATTAATTGGAAGTAATGGGTCTGAGGCAAGGCTCTGAAATTAGATGCGAAGCTCACTGAATAACGTTTGGAGCTGAAGAAGGTTTGGCAATTCCTCTGATTCATTGAACCTTACATTTCAGTTAATCCCACCGGTTTGCTGTCTTACTAAGAAGGCACTAGAGCGAGGGTAGCGTGCAAGTTTTATCAGTCCTCTAAATACTGGGATAACATGGGTACTCCGGTGGGGCATTTGTGTTATCCACTAACTCTAAATACTGGGATAACATGGGTACTCCGGTGGGGCATTTGTGTTATCCACTAACTGATACCCCTTGTCATGAACTCCGTTCATGATGATCCTTCTCGTGTTCCGCCCCACGCCTCTGGGGGTACTTAAGCAGCCCGTCGGCGATAGCAGGGCCCTGACGGGGAGTGCGGTTCTCATGGACGCTCTACCGGAGCAATCGTCGTTTGAGTGATGCGACCGTACATCGATTCGATCCGCCACCTCTTGTCGACATTCCGAGGGCTGGCAGTGGCGAGAACCATGCAGCCAGCCTGATGGAGGATAGGTGGAAGTCCCTCGCGAGTGGGGGACCCGTTCGGGAAAGATCTCAAGGTGAAGTCCCTCAATGTATCAATAATCAATACATCAAGAAAAGGGACCTCAATAACTTCAAATTCTAGGCTGTTGAATATTCATGTATCTTTAGTGTTTGTAGAGTTGAAGCTCATAATAAATATAATTATTGTATGCGTGTCATGTTCGGCCAAATATGAGACTATTGGAACCACCTATTCTACATCTGAGGAGTAATGCCCTCAGAACATGGTGCATCGGCCGGACTTGTCATCATACGACGCAGTTGACACAAATATCGTGAAATGGTGCTTTGGGAAAGGAATGCGGATGAAAATGGTAGGCGAATCGCTCAAAAACAATGCCTTCAAGAACGTATACGTTCTCACTTAATCGTATTTAATCAAAAAATTTGCAGTTTTCAAAATTACAAACGGACTTTCGAAGCCCAGACAATTGAATTTTAGGGTGTGCTCCTAGGGCCCAAAGTGTGCACCTGTGCCTCCCATGGGCTCTCTGAAAGTCCGTCGATCTCA